GGGAGGGGAGGTGCGGGGGGGGGGGGTGGGGGGGGGGGGGCAGAAGGGGGTTAGGATTACAGGGTCTGTGATGGGGTAGGAGGTGCAGGAGTGCAGCGCTTACCTGGGGGCATTGCCCTCTGGCAGCAGCTCCTAGGCAGGGGGAGTCCGGGAGGCCTCCGTGTGCTTTTCCCCACAGGCACCACCTCGTTAGCTCCCATTGGCCACAGGGGTGCCCGGGGGGAGGGACAATGTGTGGAGACAAAGCTTCCTTTCCACCCAGGAGCTACACGGACATGCTGGCAGCTGTGCACGGAGCCAGAGATGGCAGGAAGTTGCTTTAGCCCAGCTATGCTGTAGATGGCGGGGGCATCTGGAGACATTTTAAATCTCCCAGGGGCAGCAGGTGAAGTTGGGGGATGCATGGGGGTGAGCACACAGAGGCAGCAAGTGAGGCCAGAGTGAGACACAGTCTGAAACTTTGCTGGAGCTGGACCACTAATATTCCTGGTGCCCAGGCTGCAAAAAACTTGCAAGCCCTGCCAGCACATGGCCCCAGTGGTCTGTTGCCTCCAGGGACACTACATGGGGCAGAAGCTCCTACTGGGGAGGAAGGCAGAGCTGGCCGGGCTCCCACTGAGCACCTACCCCCGGCTTCCTGCCCTCATGAGAACAGATTCTCCAAGTCACCCACCAGCCCTGAGTGATAGCAGTGAGCATGGTGCTGAGCCAGGTCTAAACCGTGCTACTGGTTTAGGAAGGGGAAGTTATTCCCGTTGCATATAATAGAATTGCTGTATTTTAATTTACTTTTTTTAAGAAACTGAAGCATGACTGTGTGCAGGACGGTTACAAAGCCAAACTCCTGAAAGTGAGGAAATGGCAGATTTACAGTCATCCGCACAACCATAATCCAGCCCCCATTTATTTGTGCCTTGGGATACAGTCTCAATTAAACGGTTACTTACTGTTTGTCTCCCATGGCTGCTGCCTTATTCTGTGTGTACACTGATCTGGTGCCCATGTCCATGATGGGTCCCCAAACAAACATTCCCTGCACAGGAATAACCCACAGTCAGGCTGAGTGACAGCCGCATGGGCAGCCATGAACGTGGCGTTTCCAACTTTGACTTTGTGACCTAAATGAAGTTCTTTTAGCTTTGCACAGGCCGTGTTACCTGGAGTGCAAACCACAATGGCTGTTCAGTGGGACACAGGAACCCTGCAGCAGCTGATGGGAGGGAGTGAAGGAGAATTCCAGCTGAGCCTGACCTTCACAGGCTGGTGCTGTTACTCACAGCTCACAAACCACACCAGCACCCTCCTTCCTGGCCCACAGCTGCGAATTGGTTATGGGACCTGCCTTCAAACAAAGCCCCGGCAATGGGGCTACTGGAAATGTTGAGCCTGTGCACAAGTTCAATGAAGTTCAGAACTTCCAGCTCCATGACGCGTTTCCATTTACCCCTCCAGAGGGACCAGGGTGCAAGCTCTGCCCCCCAGACTGGCTGCTGCACCGGGACAAGTGCTACTGGGTGTCTAAAAATAGAACTCCCTGGAACAAGAGCCGTGATGACTGTTCAGGGAGGGGCTCTCGACTGCTAGTGATCCGGGATCAGGCCGAGATGGTAAATAAAATGTGTCCTGGGGACGTGAGCATTGCTAGTAAGAGTTAACACACAAAACCCCTGTGCTGTGTCTGTCAGGGTTGCTCTAGTAACACCCACACAAGTGAAAAAGCAAGGAAATGAAGGTTAAGGCTACCACCCGCACAGAACCTGCGCTTTATAAAACAAGGGCTTTATTTCGAACTACCGGGTCCCTGCTGCGTGTAGACACGGGCAGTTAGTCCGGACTTGTAAATTTCCCAGCAACCAGCCGGGAAGATGCAAAGCAAGTGTGAGATATTTAAATCCCGGGCTTGATTTGCAACTTCGAATGCCTACATTAGCCTCCCTAGTTCGAACTAGGAGGCTAGTGTAGACATACCCTAAGGGAAGTCGGAGGCAGAGGGCTCTATTTCAAAATAAGAGCTTTGTAGATGCTCCCAATTTCAAAATAAGTTATTTTGAAATAAGCTACACAATTGACGTAGCTTAATTTCCATCGCTTATTTTGAGTTATGCCCTGCTGTGTAGACCCACCTTTACTGTGCTGGGGGGTCATTACTCCAACTCTGTGCCTGGGCTAGGGTAGATCAGGGCTTTTGGCCCAGAAGGACAGTGAGACAGGGTATCCCAGTGGGCAGGTAGGAAGGCTCAGTGGTATGATCAGCCCATTGGGTGACAATCTCAAAGTGATCCCCGTGACACATCCCTTCCCAGGGCCCACTGTCTATAGAGCCTGGGGCCTGGAACTGCTGTCAGTAGGCCTAGAGGAGGAGTGGGGAACTAAACCCAGCTCCCAGCATCTCTGGCTAGCACCTTAACCACTTCATCCTCCTTACCCCCTTCTGTGTCATTTACAGACTTTCATTCAAACGAATTCCAAAGACACAAACGAGGTCTGGCTTGGACTAACCAGTACATCCCCCACAAGGAATTGGACTTGGATGGACGGCTCCCTGTTAAATACAACACTGTGAGTGGCTTTATCTGCTGGGTCCATATAAGGTGTGCAGGGGGAGTTGTTGCTTTTCAGCACTGGTGAGAGCAGAGGCTACATACACGCAGGAGGAATGTGAAGCACTAGCCATAAAGAGATGAATCCTGAGCTTCATTCCATGGCTTCCATCAGCAGTTGAGCTAATCCTGCTGGGTGGGCTTGGTAATATGGACCCATGTTTCCAGAAATAGACCCAGCCAAACAGCTGCTACTACAGGGTCATAGGATAGGGAGTGTTTTATCAATCAGGGCTCTATAAGGAACAATTCAGCAGTTAATTCAAGAAAGGTGTCAGAATGAGGAAAAGCTGTTAAAAATCTTGTTCACATGTTCTAAACAGGAATTTGTTTATGTTATTTCTCAGGTTCAAGGCAGTACATCCCCCTAAGGGAAATACCAGCTGTGGGGTGATAAAAGCATATGAGATTCATTTTGAGAGCTGCAGTGCTGCATCTAAATGGATTTGTGAAAAAGACGCTTTCCTGGTATAGAGAGAAACACACTCACTGATGTCATCTCTGTGCAAACAAAAATCTTCTTTAGTTTCTGTCTGTCACATGAATGATGAATATGAAGAATGTAAAGCTTCAAAAAGAACAAATGGGCTACGGTCCCTTTTATAAGGTGTCTAAAGAGAGCCAGAAAAACCTTTCTTGCATTTGAAATTCAGGTCCTGTCTAGGCTGGAAGATTAAGGTACAGGGAGAACTAGTGAAGTGACATCACAAGTGGGGGTTAGGAGGTTCCAATGAATACTTTATTTCTCCCCAAAAATGCAGTTTCAGGGCTTCAGGTAAAAAACAGGGAGAAAAATATCCTGGTGGCTGTGCAAATAAGAAACCACCTTGGGCAAAAAGGCAGGGTGGGAGCGCAGCCTGCCCTTATCCTTAAAAAAGACGATATACAGGGGGTCCACCATTAAAGTCCTGAGTTCTGACACTCACCTGGCCAAGGTAATGGCCACCAAGGACAGCTTCCAGGAAAGGTGCAGAAGGGAACATGTGGACAACAGCTCAAAGGGGAGGCCCATGAGCCTTGGGAAAACCGGATTTAGGTCCCACGAGGGCAAGGGCTCACGCACCTGAGGGTAATCCCTATCCAATCCCTTGAGAAACCGGTGCACCATTGGGTCTGACAAAATGGTCCTGCTCCCCAAACCAGTATGGAAAGCCGAGATGGCTACTAGGTGCACCTGCATGGAGGAAGGAGCCAGGCCCTGAAGGCTGAGCCCCAGGAGGTAGCTGGCACAGGGGCGTCCAGAGGGGGGAACCCCTTGTCAGCTGAGCAGATTATGATACTTTCCACTTTACCAGGTAGGAAGATTAGGTGGAAGGCTTCCAGCTCCCCAAAAGCATTGCTTGGACCTGCTCTGAGCACTGTCTCTCTCCAGCTGTCAGCCACGGAGCTTCCACGCCATGAGGTGCAGGGAGCAGAGGTTCGGGTGCCTGAGCCTGCCAAACTCCTGGGAGATTAGGTCTGGACACAGTGGGAGTGCCAGAGGCTGCTCCACTGAAAGTGCGAGGAGGTCCAAGCACCAATGCTGACGAGGCCCAGTCGTGGCTATCAGGATCACCGAGGCCCAGAATTTCCTGACCCTGCGAATCGCTGTGGGGATCAGTGGGAAGGGGGAAAAGGTGTACAGCAGGCCCCAAGACCGGGAGATCCTCAATGCGTCCCCCAGAGAGCCTGGGCTGTGCCCGATTAGTGAGCAGAACCAGGGACACTTCCTGTTGACGAGGGTGGTGAACAGATCCAGGAGGGGAAACCCCCACCTACAGAAAATGGAGAGGGGTACCTCCGCCTTTAGGGACCATTCGTGCCCATGCAAGGACCTGCTGAGGCAGTCCGTCAACTCCTTCTGAGTCCCGGGGAGATAAGCGGGCACTGGGTGAATATGGTGAGCCACACAAAGCTCCCATAGGAGGATAGCCTCCTTGCACAGGGGATAGGAGCGAGTACCGTCCTGTCTGTTTATGGAAAACTCCGCAGCCACGTTGTTGGTCAGAATCAATATATGCTTGTTTCAAAGCTGCAGAAAGAAAACCCCACAGGCGAAACGATTAGCTCGCAGCTCCCTGACATAGCTATGAAGGGAGAGATCCTCTAGGCCCCACATACCTTGCATCGGTAGCTTCCTGAGGTGGGCACCCCAACCTGTATCGGGAGCATCCATTACGAGCTGGATGGATGGAGAAGGACTGAGAAACGGGATCCGCTGGAGCACCGTCTCCACGTCTCAACAGCCACCAGTCGAGGGAACTCAGCACATCTGCGAGCACCGTCACAACCCCGTGCTGAAAAGCTGGGTTGTGGATCCATGCCAGCCACAGCCAGCACATCTGCGAGCACCGTCACAACCATGACCCTGTGCTGAAAAGCTGGGTTGTGGATCCGTGCCAGCCACAGTTGAAGTGACTGTAACCTTAGCCTGGCCAACCTCACTCATATAAGTACAGGCCGCTGAGCCCCAGCAGCCTCCTGGCACAACAAGCCATTGTGGTGGGAAAAAAGGGAGCCATAATATGCTCTCTTTCAGTGTCGAGAAGCACTTTCTGGGGACGGAAGCCCTGGCCCTCATTGCATCCAGGAAGGCTCCCACAAACTCTATGGTTTAGGTGGGACCCAGAGTGGATTTGGCCTCGTTCAGTATAAGACCCAGTTTGAGGCAGGTATCCCTTATAAGAGTTATATGGCTGATCACCTGCGACGGGAAAGAGCTTCTTATGGGCCAATCGTCCAGGTATGGATAAACCTGGACCTGTCGCTTCTTCAGGAACGTAGTCACAACTGCCATACACTTTGTAAAAACCCTGGGGGATGTAGAAAGTCCAAAGGGGAGGGCCGTAAACTGATAATGGTCGCAGCCCACCATGAAACGGAGGAACTGCCTGTGAGCATGTGTGATAGAGGTGTGAAAATAGGGGGTCTTTGAGATCAAAGGCAGCGTGCCAGTCTCCTATGGCTAGGGAGGGAATGATGGAGGACAGGGTTACCATCTTGAACTTGGCTTTTACTATGAGAGCATTCAGGTCCCTCAGGCCCAGAAGGGGACAGAAGCTGCCCTTGGTCTTTGGGACCAGGAAATAACAGGAGTAGAAACCCTTTCCCCTGAGATCTGAAGGTTAAGAAGCTTTTGCACTTCCACCGAGAAGATGCTGGTGAGAGGAGCAGGTTTAAAACGAATACAAGAAAGTTCTTCTTAACATAGCACATAGTCACCCTGTGGAACTCCTTGCCAGAGGAGGCTGTGAAGGCTAGGACTATAACAGAGTTTAAAGAGATGCTAGATAAATTCATGGAGGTTAGGTCCATAAAAGACTATTAGCCAGGGAATAGAAATGGTGTCCCTGGCCTCTGTTTGTCAGAGGCTGGAGAAGGATGGCACAAGACAAATCGCTTGATCACAGTCTTTGGTCCACCCCCTCTGGTGCACCTGGTGCTGGCCACTGTGGGCAGACAGGCTACTGGGCTAGATGGACCTTTGGTCTGACCCAGTACAGCCATTCTTATGAGTCCCTGAAGAGGGACGGGAAAGGAGGATGGGAAAGGAATGGAAGGGGATGAAGCATCCTTGCCTCACCGTGTCCACAACTCAACAGTCCGTTGTAATATGCAACTAGACATGATGGAAGGGGAAAAGGTAAAGGACTTCTGGTCTGAGCCTGGTGCACAAGACAATAGCATTGCCAAGGGCAGGGCCTGGATGCCCAAAGGCAAGGAGCCCGCCGTGCGGGGAGCACTCCCTGGGCCAGGTGGCATGCCCAGCCTCCATCTGGCCACAATGTCCAGTCCTTGGTCCTGATCCTGGGGCAGGCCCCGCAGTCTGACCCCCATATAACCACAGGAAGGTCTAGCGGCAGCTTCCGTCTTTTACAACGTGGGTTGGAGATGAGGCCATGATTCGGCTGTGGCAATCCTGGTCCAGCCCCTCGTCTTGCCAGGTGCAGCTCAACCTCACCCAGGTAAGGTAATCTGGCCCCAGGGCTCCCCCACCTCCAGCACCCACCCTGCCCTGCCTCCTGCACCTCCCACACATCCCAACCTGCTGCCCAGAGCTCCCCATACACCCCAACCCTAACTCCTGCCCGGCGCAGCAGCAACAAAAGTGCTATTACATAAAGTCTGTGAATACAATGTTTCATTTAGTGTTCTGTCAAGTAGCAATAACATTAGGTTGTATATTTTCAGTCTGCAAAAGGGCATTCTTACACGGCTCTTTGTTGACCAGTTGTTCTGAATTTTGGTGGAGTTTGGCTCTTTGGTTTGAAAAGGTTGCTGACCCCTGCCCTAGAGGGAATGAACAGAACAGGGAATCAGCAAGTGGGCCCACCCCGTCACTCGACCCAGCGTTATGGCATATGGGAAATTTTATTTTTATACATTTTCTCTTCTGTGCTTTTACCCTAGAAAAATGCATCAGCTGAGGAATGGCTCTGATAGCTTATAAGTGCTGGCCTATCCTCAGTTCAGAGCAGAAGCAAAATGCAGGCACTGGTTTGCAGAAGGGCTGGCTTGTGGGGACAACACGGTGCACAGAAGGGAGATGTGAAGCCTTAAATGCCAGGTCAGCTGGGAGTGGAAGAGGCCCCCTGCCACGAAGTGATAGAGCAGCGAGAGACCCAAGCCCTGACAAAGGTGGGATACAGAGGCACTTCCTCTGAAACTGAGACATCTGCCCTAGAGAAGGCTCTCAGACCCCAGCATCAGGGAGATTCACAGCTAGGACCAGGCAAAACTCTGGAGGCAGAGTAATAAACACAGAACAAGGCTGCAGTATGAAGGGGACATGAAGGGAGACCAGATCCAGGCTGTGTCGGCAGAGTAATAAACACAGAACAAGGCTGCAGCACGAAGAGGACATGAAGGGGGACCAGATCCAGGCTGTGTCATATCTGGTCTCCAATTCCACTCAGTTCACAAGTCCCTTCCTAAAACATGCACCTCTAGCTATGTAGAAGGTCTCCAATTCCACTCAGTTCACAAGTCCCTTTCTAAAACATGCTCCTCTAGCTATGTAGAGGCATCGGGTTTGCTGCAGAGCCATTTCCTCAGCCTACTGCAGCTGGAGCTGTTGTCCTGCATTTTGCTTCATTTAGGTAGGTGCAGTCGGCTCCTCCTTGTATTTCAAACCTGCAAGCCAGAGGCAGTAGGAGTTAGATTCAGCATGTGCCAGGCAGAGACCAGGACAGACACCCAGATGAGGGATGGGAGCTGCTGCACTCATAGCCCCTCAGGATCCCCGCTCCCTTGTATTTCCCAGACCCCACTCCTGGCGGGGGGAAGGAGGGGGGGAAGCAGCCAGTGAGGCATTTCCATCAACTCGGACCCAATGCAGAAAAAGAAACAGACTCACCGACGGTCAAATTCGGTGCCATTGACCCATCTCCAGACCCCGCCTGCGTCCTTCTGGAGGCCAATCCAGTGGTCCAGTCTGCCTGGGTAAGGCAGCAGGGAAGCCTTTCAAATACAAGCAAAGTTGTCAGCTGAGTTAGACCCTGGCTCTGTGCTTCCCCCACCCCCCAGGGAGTCCAGGGCAGCCAGGGATTTCTAGAGACATCAACCTTTCTAATTGAGTGAAGAGATCAGATCCGTGTTAACCCTTCACTCTCCCTGGGGCTGTAGCATCTACTGGATAAAGCAGGGATTGAGCAACAAGATTGACCAGCAGGGCCCATCTCAGGGCACAGGAGGGCCAGGGGAGAGGAACTGTGGCAGGTGGGAAGGGGGCACAGAGCAGGTCCCATTTTCAGCTGGATCCTCCTTCTCCATCCATAGAGAACCTGGAGACTGGGGCTCAGCTGAGGAGGGAGGTTCTTACGCCTGCATGCCCCAGGCAGCGACTGGAACTGACTGAGAGGGCCCAGACCTGTTCAGGGGGAGTCTCCCACCAAGGCTCTGAGCAGGTGCAAGGTTGGGGAGGCTGGGGCCATAGGCTCTTCCCTACAGTGGCTGGGCCCACCCTGGCTCCAGCCCGGCCTGTGCTGCCGGCGATCGCTGGGCTCGGCACAAAGCGTCCGTGCTGCTCACCAGCTCCTGCAGATTCTCAATCCCAGTCAGGGAGGCAGCGTGTGAGGTGCAGTTGTTCTGGCTTTCGGTCCAGTCCCTTTCAGCCTTAGAAAAATAGTAACATCTCCCTTCGCTCCTGAACCAGCCGTCGGGGCACCCAGGGGCAGCAGCGGGGCAGGGAGGCGGCTGCCTAGATTTTTCCACTTAAAAAATAAAAAGAGAGAAAGTGAGAGACAGAGAGGAGATGGACAAGGCAGAAAACACCCAGATAGGAGACTGATGCTTCCCTCGTGTCTCCATGGGGAACGAGCAGGAACAGAAGCGCAGGAATGGCCAGACTGGAACAGACTGATGGGCCACACAGCTGCTCTCTGCGAGCCGCCACCAGCAATTTCAGAGGGAGGCAAGACACCCCCTAGTGGGCAGTGGTGGCAATACCTGCCCCAGGGAACATCCCCCCCAAAGTGGGAAGGTTTCTATTCCTTCCAGTCGTACCCTGATCCAGAGAGAGCGGCCTACCCGGAGGGGCAGGAGAGCACGGCTGATTCATCCCCCTTTATAGAGGACACAGTGTCTCCTCTGAATGGTCTCATGATTCACATCAAGGTCCAGTCCTATTATGAATCCTGCTGAGCTCTAGGATTCAGGAACCTCCTGTGCCAGTTAAGTTCCCAAGACTGCTACTGTTCAATGAAGCCATAATTCAGTCAATTCCACGAAATGGCCACTAGAGGGCATCAGACCCCAAAATTGGGGGCATGACCTCCTACACTTGCTGCTGCTGGTCTTGCTTCCAAAGACCATGTAAGTCTGAAATCTACTAGAATTCCTTGAAGGGGCCAACAAGCATGTGGGGAAGAAGGGTCCAGTGAATGCAGTGTGCTTACACTTCCAGAAAGCCTTTGACAAGATCCCTGTGACTGGGTCTCCCTGGGGGTGGGGTGGCCTAGTGGATGGGTCTGTGGATTAGTGCGGGGAAGGAGGGTACAGTGAATGCAGTGTGCTTACACTTCCAGAAAGCCTTTGACAAGATCCCTGTGACTGGGTCTCCCTGGGGGTGGGGTGGCCTAGTGGATGGGTCTGTGGATTAGGCAGCAGAGAAAGGCTGCAGGACTTTGCTGCTGGTGCCCCAGGCCTAGGAACTCTGGCCTACTATACTAGGATAGTTCTTAAGCTCAGGACCTGGCCCCAAGAGTCCAGGTTCCTCCCTTAGTTAAGGTTCTAGCAGGGTCTCCCCTTTGTCCCATGGGGTGAGGTTGGAGGCTGACTTTCGCCTGTGGCTGGCCAAGTGAACAGGCTTGGGTTTGTGTCCTGCAGTCTGCGGAACCAAACTCCCGTTTCCTTGCTGGTCAGCCCCTAAACGAGCCAGGTTCCTTCATTATCCTCCCTCCTGACCTGGCATTGGCTACAGATGAAGTGGGGTGGGACTAGCTAAGCCAAAAGGTCCTGTTTCATCCCTGCGATGCCAGGCCCTCCTCTTTTCACTCCCTCACATTCCCTTATCAAAGGCATAAAGTCATGACAAGTATGGAGAAAGTGATTAAGGAAATACTATTTACTTGTTCTCATAACAAAAGAACTAGGGGTCATTTAATAAAATTAATAGTTAGCAGGTTTAAAACAAACCAAAGAAAATATTTCTTCATGCAGTGCACAGTCAACCTGTGGAACTCCTTGCCAGA